TATCATAAAATTTATGTATTTTGTGAACCCTAAATTCTTGATTGTTCAAAAATTTCAATACACGTTATTATGTGAAAGTGAAGTTATCTAAAGTTGACTACATGAATAAAAAAAGTTCCAAATTAAGTTTATTATAATATAAAAATTACCTGCTTTTGTTGTTCATTTAATAATTTTTTTTTGTATTGTTTAGCTTCGGATTTTTTTTGATTACAAACATTAAATGTGATTTCTTGTTCTTTTTCATACTTTAATAGTTCTTTTAAAAGTCCCTGACCACAATCTAGTTGTCTTTTTAAAGCTGAAGCTTAAAAGTTAWAAAATAAAATAATAATATGTATATTAATATAACAATAATAAATAGATTCATAATGAAAAAAAAATAAAAATATTGTACATTTTTTTGATTCAATTGTTGATTTTGTTTGAATTTCGGTGAAGCGTTGTTTTCCTTGGTTAATACATTTTTCCACTTGTTCTTTTGTTATTTCTAATTCCAGTTTCATTCTATGGAATTCATTTAATAATCTATGCTGAGTTTCAACTCGACAAGTTACATTATTTATTTCATTTCTAAATAAAGATTTTTCGTTTTGTTTAGATCTAATTGAGCCATCCTACAAAAAATATTTTTTAAATTAATTTCCAATCAAAGAGTATTATTTTAATAGTAAATTAATCTACTTACAAGAGTTTGTAATTCTCTTTGGATGTTTTCTCTTTGTTTTAATAAATGTAATTTCAGTGTCTTCTGAAATCTTACCATTACAGGATTATTTGGTTCTAGTATAATTAGTTGATTATTATACATTTCTTTCTCAATGGATGTAAGGTTTACATGTGTCATCTCACTAGTTATGCTTTCAAACCCTAACGATATATCATCTAAACTATTTTTTCTTGTTTCTAATTCAGTCTCTAGGACACTAGAAGAATAATTATTAACTAGATTTTCTAATTCAGATGATATATCTTCTAAACCTATTAAGTCTGTATATAAAATTGGATCCATTACATTAGTTTGATGATTCGATACATTTTCAAGTTGTTCTTTAGCTGAAATAGTATTAATTTTTTTTAAATCAGCTCGAAACTTTATTAAAGTTTTTTAATCAATATATTTTGTTAATTTACAATAGAATTTATCTGATCGATGCTCTAGTTGAATGTATCTAAATTCAGACGTTAGTGCAAAGTGCAGTTATATTAATTGTGTCTTAYAATTAGTACTCACCCATAAGATCGACTCTTTTATTATTATCTTGAAATTCATGTATATTTGATGTAACTTCAAGTGGATTTTCAATGCACATGTCATCTCTTTGAATATTTTCAACACTATTATCAATTCCCAATGTTTTTTGTTTGTCTCTTAATTCATAATTATCCATTTCAATATTATATATTTTAGATTCAGACATTGAATTTTCTTTAAGTAAAGGAAATATTGAGTAAATATATGACCATATACACACTTAAATCTTGATAATATTATTAATATTATATAAGTTTATGGTGCATATAGTACCCACATTCATATTGGTTACTATGGCAATGTTTAGTTTTAAAAATAACAAATCTATTTTTCATATTTCAAAGGGTGTAAAATAACAAAATTAAAATAATTAGTTAGTATAGTTACCTAAAACAAAGTACAATTTACCATATTATGTTAATAAAGATTTGTATAATAAT